AAAAAGAAAAAGAGACTCAGATGTATAGAACAGACTTGTGGACTCTATGGGAGAACCCGGGGGTGGGATGTTCCAAGAGAACAGCATCGAAACATGTATATCTAGGGTGAAACAGATCACCAGCCCAGGTTGGATGCATGAGACAAGTGCTCAGGCCTGGTGCACTGGGAGGACCCAGAGGGATGGGGTGGAGAGGGAGGTGGGAGGGGGGACCGGGATGGGGAATACATGTAAATCCATGGCTAATTCAATGTATGACAAAAACCACTACAATGCTGTAAAGTAATTAGCCTCCAACTAATAAAAATAAATGGGAAAAATTAAAAAAAAAAAAAAAAGAAATCAGAATTACCAGGAAACATTCACTAGAAGGTAGGTAATTTTAAAACCACCTAGGCTGGGTGGGAATCCTTTTCCAATTAGTTAATACAAATTACTAAGAAAATTGAATGACTCAACAGAAGAGAATGCTACAAATATAAATCAAATATTTAAGTCAAAATATATAAATGGCTAGTAAAATGTGAAAAATATGAGTGAATTCTTTCAAAATTAGAGAAATGCTGAATCATAACCTTTCATCTGTGAAACTGGCAGTTTTCAGTTGTCCAAACCAGTGTGCTCAAGAGAGTAGAAAAAACAAAAATACTCTCACTCAAAAATACTTCTCAGAGTGGAGAAACTATTAACATAGAAGATTATTTGTCAATATATGCTGTAATTTAAAATATGCATACCTTTTGAACTTTTTAAATGTCACCTTTAAAAAAAAAGTCACCTTTAGGAATATATCCTATGAATGTATTAGCAAAGTTTACCATGATATAAGATGTAAATTGATATTCAATTAAGTAATGCCTGTTTCTAGAAAAATAATAAACAAATGAACCAGGAACCAGTTAGTTACCTCTCTCAGTAAACCACCCATAAGGAGCAACCCCTGCTGGCTGCCTTTGTTAATACAGGCATAGTATTTAGGAAGCAAGCTCCTAGGTGCCAATGATCAGCCCTGTTGTTGAATCACTTTCAAGTGTACTGTCAAGGTTCCCAAGTCCTTTCTCAAGATCAGTTTTCAGCTTCCTCAGAACATCGTTGCCAAGATTGTCAAGACTGCAAGAAAGTGAGCCGAGGTCACACAGTGACAGCCTCACTCTGTTTCTGCTTACATCACCGCCATGATGGAAGGTTGTCTTCGCCAGAACCCCTGACCTCATGACTTTCTGACAGCACCCTTCTGCCAAGAGACACCACTCTTGTCCCCACTGGACAGACTAGGAAACAGAGGCTCAGAGAGGACAAGTGACTCCTCAACATCACAGGATAGCAACTGGTGAGACTACTTTTAAATCCATGTCTATGGGTACCCTTGCTCAGAGAGGTGACATCCTGGCTCCCACACTCAGCCACCTCTCCCCAGCCCCTGCAGGTCCCACTGTCCTGGCCTTGGTGTCTCCTTCCCAGGGCTGATGGGGTTCCTCTTGTGGCCCTTCTGTCTCCTCAATGTGCAATCCCTCAGTTTCCCCTTTGATTTTGAATGGGGAGCAGAGACCCCTTACTCACAGCTGCATCACCTCTGCAGAGGACTGACCCAGGCTATCACCTCAGGGTCCCCTTTCCATGAGGGCATCTGACTTTCCTGCCAAGAGGCCCAGGGAAGCTTTGCCCATCTGCCGAGGAGCCATCTCAGTGCTGTGTGCAATTCTGTGAGGGAAGAACCACTGTTGTCCTCATGGGAGACTCTGGTTAAGTGAGACCAGGGCCACACAGAGGCCTGCACCAGCAGCTGCTTCATTCAAGGGCCTTCTGTCTGATGAAGGCTGCCTCACAGAGCCAAGTCATCCAGGAGGCCTTTGAGCCCCTGGGGCTGCTGGGGGCCTTGGACCAGCTCTCCTGAGCTCTCCCAAGAGGACCTCAGTTCAGGCTGTGCCAGGGCTGTTGACAAGGCGTGAGGTGAGAGGTTGGTCAGAGCTGAGCTACACTTGGCCTCTGCCCTTTGTCAGCTGTGTGATCTCAGGCAACTTACTAGAGCCACAGTTCTCTCACCTGCCCAGTGGAGTTAACAGTAAAACCCTGTTGCAAAGTTGTGACAATGAAATGAGTCAATGAGTGGAAAATGCTTAAGCAGAGTCTGACACTGGTGAGCACAAGATGAATGTCAGCTTCTACGCACTTGAATTACTGTCATACACTGTTGAGAAATCCCATATTCAATCTTTATACACTGTATCTCACTCAATTATGATTTATACTGAATGATGCAGTGAATGGATCTCGGCGTAGGTGTGACGTCTCCAGGGCCACACAGCTGGTCAGAGGCAAAGTGAGATTTCATGTGAAGTCAGGCTCTTCCAGTTCTGGTTCTTCCCCTGCTGGCCATAGCAAAGGGATGAGAGATTTCCTCTCCGTCTGTATTTTGTGACAGTCCCAAGTCCCACACAAGTCCACACGGAGGGCTCACGATTCAGGACTTCTCTTGAGCAGTAGCCCCTTGGGTCAATGCTGAGCCTTTCTCTGAGCCGTTCCACCCACCTGGACATCAATCCTTCTTTCCCTCCAGCTTTTCTCACCTCCTTAGCCCACCACTCTGCTCAGCAGCTGTCTCCTGGAAAGTAGGGGCACTGCTCAATGTTTCACCAAGAAAGAGAGAATGTTTTCCAGCTGGTAGGTCTACCCAGGCTACTTTTCATTATTGTCTCATACAGACAGAGGGTTTAGGAAATGTCAACTCTCATGGTTATGGCTTATACTTTTTAAAATACTCTTTTTTTCCATTTTTAGTGAGAAATAATTATACAATGATATTCACCACTGTATAAGTTAAAGGCAAGTTTGATTTCTGTGTATTATGAAATGATTATGACAATGGGGCAAGTTAGCATTCATCTTCTCATATAGATACAATAAAAAAAATAATGAAAAAGAATAACACTTTTTCCTGGTGATGAGAACTCTTTAAGATTTGCTCTCTTAACAACATCCCTGTATATCATACATCACTGTTAGCTATAGTCATCATCTTATGCATTACATCGCTATTACTCATACATTTAGAACCTAAAATATGGGAAGAATAGCAATAAATGCCTACATTAAGAAGCAAGAAAAACCCAAATGAACAACCTAACTCTATACCTTAAGGGACTAGAAAAAGAAGAATAAACTAAGCCCTAATTTACCACTGAAAGAATACAATAAAGATTACAGCAGGAGTAAATGAAATAAAGAAGACAAAAAGAATAGAAAGTATTAACCAAAATAGTAATCATACAACTATCGGTCCTTTGAAAATGTAAAAGAACTGAAAAAACTGAAAAATCCTGGGCTAGATCTCATGACTTACAAGTGGGCTTTAGGTGTTCACATGTTTCCTGGGTCTGCTTTGTCTTCAAAGATAGACTTTACACACAATTACATGGCAAAGTTCACTAGAAAATGAAGCTATAAAAGGGGATAAGATAATGTATCATTTTGGTGCCTTGATCCAAGTAAGCCTGAAGTTCTTCCTGACACAGAAGTTCTAGTTCAAATACATGTCTCCCTTCCTATTTTTTATTTTTGTTGAAGCCAGTTTGACTCGGATCCTGCCATTCAAATCCACAGGAAGTCCTGCCAAGATATTTGTAGACTCATGTCTTCCTCCTCCATTCTGACATCTACTCAAGGGTCACTCAACCACATTGGAAACATGACAGACCTCAAAGGCACAAGAGAGCTTAAGGTCATCATTTTCACCTCTTTGCTTCAAAGTCTAGGAAACTGTGGTCCAGAAAAGGAGAAGGACTCATCTAAAGACACACCTGACTTGAATGTTACTTATTTTCCTCTTTCTCTTCACATATTTTTGATTTGTTGAAACTATCTACTTGGGCAATAGCCTTTTAACAAAAACCCTAAACAAGATTACCTGATAAGTGTGCTTTAAACTTTAGATGCCTGGGCTCCTTCCTAGATACTTAGGTTCAGGGGTTCCTGAGGAGTCTGACCCCAGAGTGTCTGGCCAGAAATAGGAACAACTGGACTAGATGGCCCAAAGCTATTTTCAACCTTGAATTCTAGGAGCTGTTCCCACCCCCACCTTCCTCTGGACCCCCACCTCTGCCTAGACATGACCTCAAACCATACCTGCTAATCCTGCTTCATCTTGCTTCATCTCAGCAGGAACCAGGCAGGGGGTGTTCCTGTCCTGAGGGGTGTGATGCTGAGAAGGGGAGGATGACTTGGTCAAGGTCAAAAGATAGAAAGAGGCAGAGCTGGAGAGTGCTCCCAATTCTGCATCCTCTCCCATCGAGACTGACTGTTCCAGCTCACAGCCTCTGAAGCAACCATGAGTCACAGTGGTTGACCCCAGTCCAGCACCCAGGAGGGAAAGCAAATGGCTGGTTCAGGGCTTGGCAATGAGGGTACACTTTCAACATTGGTGCTCATGACAAACCACTAAGGAGGCAGGGAAAATACCCTTTTCCAGTTAAGGATACTGAGGTTCAAGAAAGGCAGGTGATTGGCCCAAGTCTCACAAGGACAGGGCCCAGCATTTGAGTCCAAAGGGAAGAACCTTTCACTCAGATTACATCGAGGCCAGCTGGTGGGGCAGGAGAGTCCTAGGCTTGAATACCCTGCTTATTCCTGGACCTCTGCTGTTTGAGTTGGTTGTTATGCCTGACGCACTGTGCCCCTGTCAACCCGGAACACTTGGTCAAGGATGCACAGATGAGTGCCCAGTTGGCATCAGGCTGGGAGCACCGGTAGAGAGCTCCAGGTCATCCAGGGTCCGTGTCCTCCAGTCCCAACCTGCATCAGTAGGTAAATGATGAGTGTGGCCAGGACAAAGTAGGGGTAGGGCTGCAGGCTTGAGGAATATGCTTTCATCACCCTGACTGTGGTCCCGTCTTCAGAGCACAGCACAGGGAGATGTTGGCAGCCCAGGTTCCCTAGCCTGAGGCTGGGACATGCAGGACTCCATCCTGCAGAGACTTGGACCCATCAGAAGACCACCCTCTTCACTGGCTGTGCCCAGTTCTGCAAATATCAGGGGTCCTCCTCCCCGTGGTGAAGGGAATAGAGTTTAGGGCTGTGGGAAAACTTAGGAAGAAAATTTTTGGCCTCAGGATCACAGTCTAGAGATTGGAGGGTGATGTAGTGAATTCAGACCCAGTATTGGCCCCAGACCTTAGCTGCCCCATTGTAAAATGGCTAAAAAATCTGGTACCTGGACCCCCATAGCAAAAAGGGTACAGAGGAGGTGGTGCTCAGAACTCAGCTTCAGGTTCGGGCAGACTGGCTTCGAATCCTCTCTTTTCCTGTTGCTGGCTATGCAGCCTGGACAAGGGACCCATCTCCCTGAGTCTCAGGTCACTTCTTGGTGAAATGAGACTAAGCATGGGACTCTCCAGTCTTCCCAGGAGGCATTAGTGGTAAAGACCTGCCTGGCAGTGCAGGAGACATAGGAGATTCGGGTTTGATCCCTGGGTTGGGGTGATCCCTTTGGGGAGCATGGCAACCCTCTCCAATATTCTTGCCTGGAAAATCCCATGGCCAGAGGAGCCTGGAGGGCTATACTTCTTGGGCCGCCAGAGCTGGACACGACTGAAGTGACTTAGCACTCCCACACTTGGGATTCTCCTCCCAGGTGTGCTGTGAAGATGCGGTGGGCATGCATGTGTAGGCCCCTGATACACAGTTACAACAGTGATGATGATGATTATAGCTGTACCTGGTGTCTGGTCACTTCCTCCCCTCCCACTCAGGTCTCCTATCTTTACATGACCCCACTGCACAGCGTTATGGAGAGAATGAAGTGAGGAGATGAAACATCCCATATGCTTTATGTTTAATCAGTGGCAACTACATTTCTTATTTGGTGTGCTATAAAGACAGCATGAGCTAGATGGGCTCTGACTTCTAGTAGACACCTGTCTACAAATTCTGACTCCCATGGCGACTGGTCTATAGTCTTTGGGAAGTGTGGTTCCTCACTAAACCTAACCTTTCCATCCAGGACCCTCTTAAGAGTCTCCAAGAACTATGGTCTAGTACACCTCATTGGTTGTAGGGTCTGGATGGAGCTTTCTGCAGAGAAGCCCTCCCAGGCAATCCTGGGCTTGGAGGGCAGAATTGATTGGTGATGTCTGCCACAAGTTCAAGAGTGGAGAGTGGAACGACTGCATTCTTGCCAGGGCA